ACGGGACAACACAAAAAGGAGACAAGAAAACGAAAAACTAAAAGTGTTTATAAAATATATATTAATTAAATACTGAAAGACACATGTACGGGCAAATATTAACGCTGGACCCCGGTAGTTTTAAATGCAAAACAATCACAAAAATTCGGAGCGCAAAACAAAAACACGACCGTTTGCTATGAAAGTCGAAGACGAATTCGACTTATGACTTAGAATAGGAATGATTGGCAGAAGAAAAATTAAAGCTTTGAATGTGTTAGCATTTAGTATTTAGCATTTGTTAGCATTTAGTATTTCTACCATTAGCATTTAGTACTTAGTATTTATGTTTCAGTTCCGTTGTTCCAATTAATACAATGTTAATATATAAGGTTAGGATTAATGGAGAAAGAGGATACGGTCACTCTACAAAATAGAAGAAATCAAATGAAACTCGACGTCAACATCTTCAGAAGTGGGATCATGATACAATCATAGTAGGTAGTCTATTCGGCAGTCAAAGCACTCGGGTTTTGCTTCAGTGCTTGTTCGGCTTTTGTGTTGAAAGGTTGGCTACGGACAATTTTTTTTACAAATTAACCCTTGTGCAACATGATTTTTTGCCACGTGTGCCGTAAACACGTCGATGGCGTGAAATTTATTAGGGCACCAAAATGTCTAGAAAAACGAGCGGTATGGGAGGAATCGTTGGGGTGCAAGCTAGAGAGATTACTCCAAAATTTATGAAACGCATTTTCGAGAAATGCACTGGAAATTGACGCCAAATAGAGGGCATCAATTAAAAAAAAGGCGTTTGAACGAAGATGCTGTTCCACAAATAACTCCGGAACTCGACTTTCCAAAAACATTTTATTTTAAGATTAGAATATATTTTAGGATTAACAACTTGAACAAAATACTGTCAACACAAAAACAAAAACAACGACTCATTTCCAACTCTAAACTGTTAAAAATTAAATTATAAAAAAAATTCAACTCTTTTTATTTTAAAAAGAAACTTAAAGCCCCATACTCCACATACGGGTTAATCAACACATCCTAATGTCGTTTCGCTCGCACTTACTAGATTAGACCCTCTCACTCGCACTCATTGCTATGATTGTAGAGGGACCGAAATTTTCCGAGTAGACTACCTACTATGATTGTATCATGAGTGGGATAACAACCGTTTTACACAAGCACCTACACTAATATTTCGTGTTATCCGAGAAATATACAATTTTCTCATAATTAAATTTGGAGTACCACGCCAACTGGAAATGGATAAGTCAAAGATTGTGGAGTGGCTAAAGGCCAACGAAATCGAGTTCCAACAAGCGCAACACTCAGACAAAGGCGTAAGCTTGCTTCAGATGCCGGTTGCCAAGACGTTTATGAGGGTCCTGAAACCATATCGGAGGAAGAAGACACCAAAATGGAACTCATGAGCCAGGGGACCGCGAGCGAACATGTCGAGCACACATTGGAAGAAAAAGACGAAGCCCTTGACGCCGCAATAAGAGCAGCTAAGAAGAAGAAAATAGTCGCCGGATTGATGCAAAATGACAATAATGTGACTGATGACGTCCAAATGGTAAAGCAGCTCATGGTTCCGTTCTCTGCTACTGAAAACGAAGAAGCACTTCAGTGGATCTTGGATTTTGAAAGAGCTTGGAGATGTGTAAATGATGACGCAACTTTTCAATTACGTTGTTTTCGTATGCTGATGAAACCAGGGACTGATGCCGACTTATTTCTGCGTGTCGACCGATCGAATACGTATGGCGAATTCGAGGAAAATTTTGTGACAACATTTGGCCGCGGCAATTCAACAGCCGATATAGTATTGTTGTTGAAGGAAACCATTTTTAACCCTGGCAAGAACACCGTCATAGGTTACATTCTTAAAATGGAGGAAATTGCGCTGCGTGCTAATATTGATGAAAAACTAACCATACAATTCATCATCGATGGTTTTCGCGATCGTTCAGCCAATATCGCACTGTTGTACTCGGCAACCACAATCGAACAACTAAAAGAAATGGCACGAAAATATGCGAATCTACGGAAAAATTCCCAAAATGTGTCCTATCGCACAGGAGGCACTATCGCTGGAGGGAGCCGAAACCTGATACGCTGCTTTAATTGTTCGGCACATGGACACTACGCTTCGTCTTGTACTGCGCCGAAGCGCGAGAGAGGATCCTGTTTCCGCTGTGGATCCCTTCAGCACATGTTAAAGGACTGCCAGAAGCCAGCAACTACCGCAGTAGTCAACCCGTCGTATGGAGGTAAGCCCAGTACCCATGACACTCAGGGTGCTGCAGGTCAACCTCCATAAGAGCAAGGTCGCGTCGGCGGAACTCCTTATAGCCATGGAGCAAGGATCCGCCGACATAGCTTTGGTCCACGAGCCATGGATCGCCTCTGGCAATGCCATCGCTGGACGCAGGAATAGAACGGGCGTAATTGTATGGAAGGGGCTACACGCTAACTTTAGGTCACATTACAGCTCTGTTGACCTGACCGCGGTGATGCTAGGGAGCGGAAAAAAGCTCCTTGTGGTGGCTTCATGCTACATGCCACACGACAGGACGGCCCCACCAGAAGAACTTAGGAGCATGTTAGAAGCCAGCCGGAAGGACCAGAAACTGCTCGTGGGTGCAGACGCCAACCCATACCACTGTGTATTGGGGAGCCCCGACATAAACGACAGAGGTGAGTCACTCAGTATTTATACTCTCAACCAACCTAAGTATAGCCAGCGTAGGGAGGAACACACCTTGGGATCTACCTTCTCAAACGTGCTAGATCTTACTTACTTACAAGGTACTTTGGTATCAGAATGGAGAGTCCTTGAGAGACCATCCTTCTCAGATCATAAGTACATACGGTTCCAATACGCATTCGAACACTCTCCAAAACAATCAATCTTCAAGAACCTTTACATATAGTCTTCTATATACTTCCACTGCTATATATGTCGGAACGGGTCGGACAACTATATCATATAGCTGCCATACAAATGTTCGATACATTTTTAGAAAGAAAATTATAACTTGGCTGTTTTTCAAAATTTTTGCATCATTTTTGATATATGGCCATTTTATATTATTTATTTAATTTTATGAAAATCGGTCGACTGTATCATATAGCTGCCATAGGATCGGGAAGTTAATAGAAAAAATTATAACTTCGTTGTTTTTCAACGTATTTTTTTATTTAGAAGTTGTGGACTGTGATTGTAGTATGCACAGCCTAAACAGTTTATTAACTATTAATTTTACTCCCACATAGGCCGCTTCACACATCTTTCTTTACTTTTTAGAAGCACAGCCTATCGATCAGCTGTAATCAGATGTCAGACGCGGATGCAAGCTCTGTGGGAACACGAGTTTCACATTTGCGAAAAATCCCAACTGTTTCACACGAATGCACTGAGTGTGATGACAGTATTAGTGTAAATAAATTCAAGCGGGAACGAAGCAAAATAAAAGGAATTAGGAAGTTATCAGAATTGGAATTTGTTCTGTTGCTTATGGCATTTATTTAAACATAGACTTTTGGCTTTCGGAACTCGCAGAAAATTAATTATTATAATCATACAGAGAAGAGAACTGCACTTCGAAACCTAACTGTATGACCGGAAGAAATATTGGAATTGTCACTTATCTTATGTGATGTTAGCAACCGGAGCTGCTGAGCATAGATTATCCGGTTCTGTAGGAATAATGTTTGCAGCTTTATAGAATAGATTCACTTGACAAGTAAAATAATAAGACGGGATCTTTTTCGGGATTTGGGACACGTGCGTCGGAATGTTAATTGATTCGTTTGTAAATTGATACAATTTACACGAAACAAAACTATAAATAGGGAAAGGGGATTGAAAGCTCAGAGAGAGAAGGAGAGAGAGCGTACAATAAATTTACAGGTTGGTAACTGGATCACACTGTCTCTTGAACAACAAACAAACAATTACTATTATAAGCAAATTATATTTAATCTTTACAAAAATAAAGAAACTCGAACTAAAATGGTTTGAAATTATAATAATGGGTAAAAGTATAAAAATATATACACATAATAAAAATATTGTATTCATGCTTGCTTATGTTATTACTTACTACGATTATCACTGATATATATATGATTGAATATAACTTACTCTAATTATTACTTACAATTCACTTTATTAATATTCTATTGGGATAAAGTAATCATAAGCTAGGATAAACGAAAACGAACGAAGGGAGATTTAAATATAACAAAGACGCGGGAAATCGAAAGAGGGAACACGCCAGCCCTGAAATACGGGCGTACCATAGCCATACGGCAACGCCGGCGGAGGACAGGGGCTCCAGCCCTGAACAGTTACGATTATAATCGAATCCCAGCAGTTGGCAACCCCCTAACCTGTCAAGAATCGATATATAGGCGACACGCAGCACATTCCCGGTCACTTCTTAAGAGCAGCTCAACCGACAACACCTGAGTAAGTCTGAAAGTATCTAGAACTAACATGTAGGAGCAGAGTAAGGCCCTTGTAGCCGAACTCTTGATAGGGTGAGCATAGATGGACCAAGGTTAAGTAGTACAGGGTAGCAAGAATAGTCACTGGCCAAGGTTAAGCTCTTACTAGTCGAGTAAGGTTCTAGCATCCGAACAGCACGAAGTAGCATAGACCTGGATCGTCGAGCAAGGTTGGTGTAACTGAGCTCGTACAGAGTAACAAGGACAGGCCTCGCAGACATCATAGAAACGAATAAAACAGAATTAGCAAAACTTTAATTATTTCTCTTTTAACTTGCACCTTCAGGAAGTGGTGGGGTCCGGAAATATAACAATTGTTGTAGAGCCTTGACCTCGGCAAGCTACGCAGTCTAACCCCAAAAGGGGAACGTTACAAAATAAAAGCTCACACATATACTTAAATAATAAATACAAAATTCAAATAAAAAAAGAATAAAAGTAAACAGTGATCGTTTGAAATGATTCAGTATGTTATATATGTTACTTACTAAATACATTCCAGGACATCGCTTCATCAGGTATAATACCAGCCCCGCAAAGGAAAACTCCAAATACAATGAAAACAATCCCAATATGCAACATTCCAATACTTGTGACTACCTGTATTCAAATGATATATAAAATTATCAATTAATTAATTATTACTTTTGAATTGTAACCTGGCTATCTAGCATTCCGGGTTTTGCAGCATGGTGAGGATGATTATATTTTCGTCTAATAGATCCTGTTGGGGAGTGGAATGTTTCCCCACTCTCAGAGCTTTGCGTACTATATCGTCTTTCTCTAGCTCTTTTCTGTTCATCTCGTCGTTTTCGTTGTCGTTTAATCGCCATAGCGGAATGTATGCCCACCGAATGCATTTTTCCCTAAAAAATAATATGTTTTTTAGTATGGGAACTGATCAAGCAAACTAAATTTTGTAGACCAACTATATACATTTACTTAATATAATTTAATTTTAAAAGTGCGGGAATAGCTACATATAGCTACATATATATACAGGGTGCGCCATCTTTTATGTCGGTATTTAAATATCGAATAACTTTGTCTTTAGTGAACCAATTAAGTTGAGTAGACCACTGTAGAAAAGCTCACTTCAGCAGAATTTTAACCATGGATCGCTTTACTCGAAAAGAACGCGCTGAAATAGTGACGCTTTACATTGAAAATAGTCGTTCAGTAGTGTTGACTCAAAAAACTCAATAAAGGCTAAACTGATTGGACCCAGATTTTCAGATTTTACACCTCCGGACATCTTTTTATGGGGATATTTGTTTACGTCAGCAAGCCTCAAACCATTGACGAGATCATGGCTACTAATATTCGTGCAGAAATCATCGCTATACCACCTGAGATGCTAGAAAAAGTAATTGAAATGCATCAAAAAGGGCACATTTTGTGTGTCCAATAATTCAGCAGTTTCTTTCAGCAGTGAGATACGACAGCAGAAAGAACACAAACGAAAGCTTAAAAGTAAAAAGCAGACAAGACGCAAAACTTGCAATAGTCAAAAATCTTTCCAAAAAGCTCTATCGTGGACCGATGCGACGAATAAAACTAGAATTACGCGCTTGCAAAGACACCTAGTGAAAATACCGCAAGACTTTTTTGACAACCTTATATATATATGTATATGAGCATGTAAGCATCTGAACTCTAAACAACTAAACTATAACAACGACCAATATTGACAAATCAGTGACAAAGGCCCCAGCGTCAAATTCAATGGTAAAAAATCCGTAAGTTCCGATTAGCAACAAGCGGTTCCGGCCATACAAACTGGCATGGATTGCTACATCCAGATTAACCGTAAGCTCAGCCCTCAGAACACGGTTGGTAACAAACCTAAGATCAACCGTATCATCAAAAGCTAAGACCCAACAAACGCCAACAGATTTTCCCCCCTAGCAGCTGATGAGAATAACCAAGCAGAGCCAGAGCAGGAGACTCAAAAACAGCCTCCCTCCCATATTTATATTAAGGAGAAAAGTTCAGACGCCCTGGTTAACAAAATTGTTGCGCTGGTCGGGGACGAAAATTTTCATGTTGTTCAGCGTACGAAACTAAAGTTCAAACCAAATCATCCAAGCTGTGTCTAAATACCTGAGGGAAACAAAAAAAAATTTTACACCACACTTTTACTAACTAAAAAACAGCAAGGGACTGCAAGAAGTACTAAAATGAATTAAACCTGACGTCGCCCACTCTGAGATACTAGAAGCTCTTTAAGGCAAGGGTTTCATTGCATCATCAATAAAAACAAAAAGTCGAACCATTTTTCAAGGTCAAACATGAGCCAAATAGTAAAGCGTAAAGAAAAATTAAGTTCAACCGATCTACAAGTTGTAGTTATTATTGCATCGAAGGATCGCCGTGGAAGAACCACGCAAACATTACCAAGTGTATGGAGACACCGGGACATATTGCAATTCGGTCAGGCTGTGTAGTCTGTGAAGACTTTCACAACTCCGCTCACTGTCCTGGTAACAAAGAAGACCGCAATACGAAAAAAAAAAAAATTGAAAACTATGGGGGAAATCATAATCACGACAGCTACGCGCCAACAAAATACACAAAATGTGTGTTATAATTCCAAAACTACGCCAGACATATTTTTTCCCAACGCAACCAGATCTTCTTTCGGTCCGCTAAATACCACCAAGGGCATCTCCTACGCCGAAGCTCAACGAATAGGTTTGGAAAATCCACTCCCCTCAAACTCAGAAAAGGCTCTGCATGTCCTAGGGCACCAACAAATCAATTTGGAATCTATGATGTTTGCATAAAAGAAACAAACAATCATGCAAACTCTTGTCCAGATCCAGAATATGCCAACGGCGCGCCGTCTCACTGCATAGACTTGGAATATTCCTGAAAGTAAACCACATAGACGCCATTATACTGGTTGAAAAGGACCTCACAAGCAGATACAACTTTCATATAAGAGGTTACACCTTCCACCGCGCAGATCGTACGGATTCCCACCGCGGGATGGGCATCCTTATCAGAGAACGCATCAAACACTATTTTCAGCAACGGTTTGTCACAAATTACTTGCAAGCTACATCCATAAAGGTGCAGTCAGGTAACGGCAACTGCCCACCTCGCCTAACAATCTTTGAAGGACAATTCATGGATTTCTACAACTCACTTGGAGATCGTTACATAACTGCATAGATAACAACGCCAAGCTGCGCATTTTGGATCCTCGTAACTCCCAAAGAAAGACAATTGAATAACGCTCTCATAAATGTGAGAAATAAAGTGGACTGGATCTATCGTGTTTGTATAATATTATACAAACATATATAAGTCGACCAATTTACCCATTTTTTTAGTGTGATGCAAATAACCAAACAAATAACCAAACTTTGAATGCTTATATCTTTTACAAAACAAAAAATCCTACAATTATTTTGATTGCAAAATCACAAAAATACCAAAAAAATTAAATAGATATATACTTTTTTTATTAAAAAATAATATTGCAGTTAAAAAAACTAACAATAAAAAAATTTTTTAAATTACAAACGGTCTTTATTGCTAATCACAGCAATTTATTAACTAAAGGCAAAAAATTTCATGAATATGTCAATTAAAAGATTTAAAGAACAAAGACTATTTATGAAATTAATAGAACAGGGTAATACTTACATAAATGAAAACACAAATATATTTACGCAAACGTTTTTTTTTTACTTCAAATTTTTGCACTGAAAAAGTGATATGTTGTGAAATGCCTTTGAAAATTAAACTTTCTTTTATTTACTAATACGTTAAAGCAAACAATTGGGGCTCACAAATGCAATTTTCACCAAAAAAGAAATTAGTTTCTGCAATATCAAACATCTTGCCTGCAACGCAAAATACAACTGGTTTTTCGCTATGTACATTTTTCGACGATCCAACAATAGTTTACATTCGGACAAGCGAGGTAAGGGCGAAGCCTATGAAAGTGTTGTTGCCGAAATCAACGAAGACGGCTAGAGTAGAGAGAGAGTAGAGAGTGGGATAAATTTCTGCTGCAGGCTGTGCATTGTTTTTGTTACCGCAAAATGTCCATCTGAATGCTTCCATATGCTTGTACAAAACATCTCCTTTCAGCTTATATTCTTGGCATGGTCCTTTCTCCAGGATACATATGACTGTCATTAATGAACTCGTTCATTCGTTGTGCATTCTTAAGACGGGCTGATATTTCTGTTCCCACAAGCAGAATATTTGGAAATCGGCTTAAGCAGTCAACATGTTTCATCCAAACAGCGCTACGTATTTCACTGCAAAGGAATAATCCTGTAAGAAGAAAATCCATTGAGCAACCTCATGAGGAACATCTTTCTTCTTGATAGTTTGAGTAAACGTCGCCCAATCAGTTACCATTACGAAATATGCTGCTTTAACCTCAAGAATATAACTGTGTCGTTTGGAATTGATTTCTACTTGCTCCAGAAAAATATTGGGTGAAGATTCTCCCCAAACCGCTGCAGCGCGTCGATGCGTCTGTGTGTAGTTCCGTGTGTGCATTCTGCGAATAGATGCGAAGAACTGGGTCTTGGCAAAGGCTAGCCTTTAAATGATTAAATGCTTTCAGCTCCTCGGTGTCCATCCTCAATTCGGCATCCTTTTTCAGCAGGTTTGTTAATGGTCGTGCTATGTGTGCGTATCATTTTATGAACTTGCGAAAGAAACCAGTCAGACCTAAGAACGACTGCTTTAACATTTGACGGGACAGCAAATTACTTCACTGCTCGAGTTTTTTCGAAGCCGGGCCAAATCATTCCGTTTTCCACTGTATGTTTAAGGAAATCAATCTTGCTTTCAAGGAAACGGCACTTTTTCCATTTTATAATTAATGAAAAACGAGCAGCAGGACTAATTTCAAGCACTCGTCTGCTGTCATACCGTATATTAATATGTCATCCATATAGATTTGCATAACATCTCGGAAAACAAGATCTTGGAAAACGGCGTTTATAAAGCGTATGAACGCTGGTGAGTTTGTGAATCCAACGGGCGTCTTATTGAATTCGAACAGGCCTTCCTTCGTTATAAAAGCTTTATATTTTCGGCTCTTCTCTTCTACCGGAACGTGGAAAAAACTGTTTTCTAAATCCATTACAACAAACAGCTTCGCTGCCTGCAGCTTTTCGAGGACATCATCCATAAGCGGCACGGGAAAGCAGTCTTTTAAAACCATTGCATTGAGTTGACGAAATTCAACGCAGACTCTGTTGGATCCATCCTTCTTTTTGACGATGACGACTCTGCTGGCAAAATTCGACGTGGACTGCGTACTATTCCGCTTTGCAGCCATTCCGCAACTTGATCGCGGATCGCTTCGCATTCAACCATAGAGTACCGGCTGGGTTGCTGTTTAAATGGTATACTCTTCTTGGCCGCAGCGGGCGATTCCGGCTTATAAGTTATAACCATGGATCGTATCACTGGTTCGAACGGCGGAGGAGTATGGATTTCAATATCGGCTTTGACAACATTATCTATACTTAGCTCATTGTGCGCCTCTTGCTCCAGCGGAGTAACCTTCTGAGAAAAGTGAAAGCCATCCTAATCCAAAACGACGCATAATTTGGACATAAAATCGTAGCCCAAAAGACCGTTGTACTACAGTTTGTCCGGCACCACGAAGAATTTCTGCTGAACTTTTATGTTACACAGGTACACAGCCAAAAATTTCCACGAACCATTTCAAGTTTTCCATGATATTTGGGTGCTCCTGAGTAAAAGTCCCATACAAAATTATTTTCCATCACCTACAGGTTCCGCGGTATACCTAAGAATACAAAAAACCTATGTTTGCCGACATTTTTGAATTACGTGGCCTATATAATTGGACTTACCTTTATTA